TGACTGACTGACTGGTGATCAACGCACAGCCCAAACCGTAAATGCTAGGAAGCTGAAATTTTCACTGTAGCTACCTTATGTGATGTAGGTGCACGTTAAGACGGGGTTTCGGGAAATTCCACCCGCAAGTGTGGAAAAATCGCGAAAAACGTTTGTATGTAACTTTTTTGTTTACCATCCGATCGGCCTCAAACTTATTTTCAAAGATCTTTGTTCCAATTCATGTGAGGGGTGTTTCACACTTTTCGGAAAATCCGTCCCTCCTTGGTGGAAATGGAGGTCAAAGATTTGGTGGGTGACGTTTGGCGCTCAAATTCATTTCCAGAGATCTATAAGAAAAATGATTTGAGACGTGTTTCACACTTTTCGCAGAATTCAAACTTCTTCGGGGGGAATGCGATTTCAAGATTTTTTGGGCGGCGTTTTAAGTTGTGTCCGATTTGCTTCAAACTTATTTTCAAAGCTCTACATAAGAACTTAATAGCTACGTATTTCAGCGATTTGGGAAATTCCACCCGCAACAGTGGTAAATTGGCGGAAAACGGTTGTATGAAAGTTTTTTGTTTACCATCCGATCGGCCCCAAACTTATTTTCAAAGATCTTTGTTCAAATTCATTTAAGGGGTGTTTTACACTTTTCGAAAAATCCGTTCCTCCTTGGTGGAAATGAAGGTCAAAGATTTGGTGGGTGACGTTTCGCGCTCAAATTCGTTTCCAAAGATCTATAAGAAAAATCATTTGAGACGTGTTTCACACTTTTCGCAGAATCCAAACTTTTTCGGGTGGAATGCGACTCAAAGATTTTTTGTGGGATGTTTTAAATTGTGTCGGATTTGCTTCAAACTTATTTTCAAAGCTCTACATAAGAATGTAATGAATACGTGTTTCAGCGATTTGGGAAATTCCACTCGCAACAGTGGTAAATTGGCGGAAAACGTTTGTATGAAAGTTATGTGTTTACCGTCCAATCAGTTTCAAAATCATTTCAAATTTTTTTGAGAACATTGATTTTATAACATACGTGCCACGGGCAAGGCCGGTTTATACCCGCTAGTATATTTATATATATATATATATATATTTATATATATTGTTGTATATATTGGCAGATGCATATGCTACTTATATGTGGCTAGCCGTGAAGTATATAAGAATATACATTTTACCACAAAATGGCGGCTGCACGCCCTTTTCAAGAGCGTTCATGTGTGTGTGCAATAAATGAGAAAACGTGCGAAAAAAAATGCGAAAGTGCATGCACATAAATAAATGATAATATCATTAAGTTATTAATAATCATTTGTCATGATTGTAGTTGTTGCCATTTTGTTTTCTTTTTTTGCAGCCATTTTGCAGCCGCCGTCAACGAGTTGTCCAGCAACAAAAACAACAGTAATCTTTTACAATATCAACAACAATAGCACCACAGAATGACATTAAGTTTATTAACCCTTTGGCGCTCATGTAAAAATGCATGTTAAAATATTGAATTTCAAACAAAAGTCGAGCAACCTGCGCTTTTGTTTTTTTTTTTGCCATTAAAATGCATATGAAATTTTCTGATGAACACACAGGCATACACACTTGCTCTCCCACACATACTCTTCCTGCCCCCCCCCCCTCCTCATCACCCTCCCAAACACTCCTCTGTCCTAGTGTTTCTGTGATTTTTATTATCCGGCTTTAACATGTTTTACTCATTTGTTCAGCTTAAAAGTGCTGCGGGCTGCATTTTATCTGCACCAATTAGTCGAATATTAAAAATACATAAATTGTATGCAATATTTGTCTTGTTTTTCCATTTTTCAGATTTTTAAATTTTTTTCTTTTATGTCTGTGGGTTATTGTAAAAATGTAATCAATAAATGTGAACGAACAACATGCATACGAAATCAGCACTTTTTTCTTCGGTATTTAACAGTTTTTTATGCAGCTAATTAGAGGTATATTTTGATATATTTAGTCAGTTTCGAGTCTACAGGCAGCTCAATTAAAATTGTGCATAATTGTGTGCTTGGGGGGAATCTTAGATAGATATAAACATTAATAATTTAATTGAAACTATTTCAATATACATATATCTAGGGAGCAGAAATCCGTTTAAAGCTTCGCTTTATTAGAACGCTCAAGAAGCTAATGATGATATTATTTTGAATAATGTACAAATATAAATAACATTTTTATTAATATCATATTTTATATTGGCTTTAAATTTAATTTTTTATGTGTTGAGTTCGTAATAAAACTTTAGACTTTTCCAATTATTTTACCATTAATTTATTATTAGTCCTTATCATGTTGAAGATTTTATATCTTGTAAACATATTTATATGAACTTTATAAATTTCGCCCCCAATTTTTTTAAATTTCCCTTGTTGTATACGTCATGATTCATTTGAAATGTTCATAATTTATGCCCTGTCTGATTTGAAGTGGCATTTAACAACTGCACGGCCGCAACCACAGCTGAGCCGTGGCATGAAAATTGTGAGGGCGCGGCTTACGGACAGACGTGCCCCTAAATCATTGTTTTGCCCCTTTCTGACTTTTTGACATATGACAGAAAAAAAACATGTGCAGCACTTGACATCCGTATAGAACGTGTTCAAAACCTTTACCCAAACGAGCCACAGTTTACCGCAATTGCCAATGCCATTTTTATGGACATTATTTAAAGCTCCATTGGCCCGAATAAACGTGACAGCGGTTGTTGTTGCTGTTGTTGTTGCTGTTGCGCCTGACAACATGTAAACGACAAGTGCAGAGCGCGCGCCTGTCCCTCAAGCGACCAGCACATCAGGTGTCATCATCGCTTAGTAGGCAACGGCACATCCATCCCCACCCTCATGTCTTGTTGAGGCGCAGGTAAGTAGCATGCTTCAAACAGAACACATGTCAAAGTTGACATACACGCCCTGCTCAAACAACAACAGCAACAATAGCACGGGAATATACACATGCTGCAGACCAAACGATTTAAATGCAAACACAAATTGTGTATTGGCATACAAATATCTCACAGAGCATCTGAGATATATTGATTCGGAGATACATAGATACAAATGTATCTCTGTGCGTAACTTGACAAACAGACAGACAGATAGTTGGCTTTCATATGTATCTGCTATGTTTTGTGTGTTTAAAGCTCACCCTCATCATTATCTTTAACATCATCATCAAGATACACGGAGGTACACAGATACAAATGTTTCTTTGTACATAACTGGACAAACAGACAGACGTTACCTGGCTGTAGTATGTGCTATGTACAGTGTTTTATAGGCTTATAGCTCATCCTCATCATTATCATCATCATTATTCGATTCAAGATATAAAACTACATAGATACAAATGTATCTTGTGCGCTATAAGACAAACAGAAAGGATATTTGGCTTTTGTATGCCTATACTATGTGTTGTATGTTGATAGTTATTCATTCCATTCCAATCATCACAGAGATGCAAAGATGCATAGATACAAATGTATCTTTGTGCGTAAACAAGCAGATAGTTGGCTAAGGAATGTGCTATGTATGTGCTTACAGCTCATACTTATCATTATTACATTGTCATTATCATCATTTTCATCATCATCATGAGATACAGAGTGGTGAAGATACATATGCATCTTTGCTGCCACTAGGCTTTAAGTGAGGTGAACTATGTATCTACAAATTTAGTGCGCAGAATCCTCATCCTTTATGTGAGGTGTAGTATGTATCTACAAATTTAGTGCGCAGAATCCTCATCATTATCATCTAAATCATCATCATCATTAATATTATCAAGTGATATACTGAATCAAAGATACATAGATACAAATGTATCTTTGTGCGCTAGTAGGCCAACCCCAGATGGTTGGCTTCCCATTGTTTTTTTACAGGTCATCCCCATCATTATCAGCTAGATCATCATCAACATAATCATCTTTATCATCATCAACGCCATTCTCATTCTCACTGTCGCCGTTGCGGACATTGAGCAAATATCGCAATTGTGGGACATTTGCAGATAACAATAAAAGTGCACCCGTTGCTGTTGTTGCCTGCTGTTCCTGCTGTTTCTGTTGCTGCTGTTGTAACTGCGACTGCTGCTGCTGCTGCTGCTGCTGCTAATGTAACCGTTTCTGCCTGAGTGGCCATCAGCAAACGTAGAGAATTGTGTAAACAAAATAAAAACGAAAGGTTGCACAATGGAACAAACATGTGAAATAAGCTTATAGAAATAATAGAAACTCGAATCCAATGTGTGTGACAAGTATTTTAGAAAAGTGTGACCAAGTTTTAGTTCTACTTCAATAAGGGAGCTCAGTTTGAATTTTCAATTATCACAAAAATTACATAAAGTTATTAAAAAATATGTGAAAATGTATAATTTATGATTAGAGCTATAAACTAATTTTTAAATATATATTTTCCACAGTATTCTACTGACAGAAGACATATTTTTTAAGCAAAAAATAAGCACTTTGTGCCACTGTGCGTACGCTTGTGAATCAAAAGCCAGCAAAGTAAAATTCAATTAGGCTAAATGAAAACTTAATTCTATTGGCATGCAATACAAAAACAGTTGGCACTGACTACGGTGCTTGGCCAACCCGTCCCCCTTCCCCGCCCTGTACAAACGTCATGCAGACTTACCGTTTAGCACGTGCAGCACAATGGTGCGCGGGGCACTGTTCGAGGGGCTGCACGTATAGTTGCCAGAGTCCAGCTTCACCACGGCTGGTATGATAAGCGACGCGGTCTGCGGAAAAACGAAAACAAAAAGATAAAAAAGCGAAAACAGCTCGTAAATATATAGAAATGCGATACTTGAGCTGGCGAGACAGCTGACAGACTCGTCGGCGCACGGGGCACGGGGCTCGGGACACTTGCATGTGCCACGGGATGCCGCACAGCAGGCAACTCCGGGTGCCGCGCTCCCGGCCAATGTGAAGATGGGAAAATTAAAATACAAAATATGCACACACTCATATTATATATTAAAATTATAATTTGACGACGTTGACAATTTTCGACAGTGTTGGAAAATTGAATGAAAAATGCCAGCGCGCATTTGCGGGGCAATTTGCGTAATGAAAACGCGTTTAATGAAAATACACTACAAGAAAATCTAGTAAATAAAATACTTAAAATTCTATTAAATTATATTTAAAGCATTTTTGATCTAAGAATTTACAGTTGATCTAAGAGAAGTGAATTGAATTGAAACAAGATTTCGTGTGCTTGAAGTTAGTGTAAAGTGTTCTCAATTAAAGTAGAAAATTGCTTAGATTAAACTAAAACTTCTTGCTATTAGATTTTCAACAGTAGCTATCAAAAGTTTTGCTCTCGAATTGAGATGCTTGGTTTTTTATCTGAGTGTATGGGGGGGCAGAGCAGCTGAGGGGCAGTTGGCTGTGCGAGGTGTATGATAATGATGAGAGACACGCCCACACGTGAGGTAAACCACTTACCGTTATCTGTTTAATGAAACTGCTACTTGGCAGCATTGTTGTTGTTGTAGTTGCTGCTGTGGTTGTCGTAGTCGTTGTTGTTGTGCTTGGCTCTGCCGTAGTTGTTGCTGCTGCCGTTGTAATAGCTGCTGCTGCTGTTGTTGTCAGCGCATCAGGTGCTGTTGCTACCCCAGCGCCTGCATCAGTGGCAACGCCTGCTGCAAATGCAACTGCTGCAGCTGTCGTCGTTGACATTGTGGCTGTTGTGGGCGTGTGCATGGGCGTGGCTGTAGCTATAGTTGGCAACACGTAACCATATCCGGCAATGGCAGCCCCATCGCTCACCGTTATCGCGTCTAGAATGTACGAACGTGTTATAGCCGCTATATCATTTAGGGTATCTGCCGACGTCAACGTTGACGTCGACAAGGACGTGGGCGTTGACGCCGCTGCTGTTGCCGCTGTCGGCGTCGTTGGCACTTCCGTTGGCAGATCGATGCGCTCAATTTCCGTTCGCCATCCGCGACGATTATGCAAATAGATTTGCTTCTGATTGTAAAACCAATTAATGAAAAGTGGCGGCTCCAGTGCCTGGCTAATTATGCAGCGCAGTTTCACTTGACTTCCGGCCTTCACGTGACGCGTGGACTCGCCAATTAATTCCGTTTTAGGTTCTGCAAGGGAGCAAGAGAAAAGCAAATAGACAGAGCACACACACACACGCTTTTAGAGAGTCGCTCACAATCTGCGTAATATCTGTGTGCCACAGATTTATTGGCCTGCCCTGTGATTTATGTTTGGGTTTGGGTTTGGGGCGTGGCATGCATTGCATTTCGGTCTGGTTTTCATTGATTGTCCCTGGAACAGCTTAATAACAGGCTGAGAGGTTACGAGGTCAAGACTTTAAATCTGCTGATGCTGACAGAAAATCTGCAGAATGCATTTTGCGCAATTTTACGAAGATTTTATTGGAATGCCTGCGTGCATTTCTATAGGAAAACATTTTTAGAGCAATTTTGCTTTTATTAAAAGCAAAAACGAATTAAGTTAAGAGAAATCCATTAAAAATAACTCTCAAATGGGAGCAGTTATATATTTTAATAATTTAAATTGATTAAGTTATATCGTTAAAAAAAAAGAATTCATTTAAATGGATTTCCAGTAAAAATATTTATTTTCCTTTTTGAAAAGAACCCTCAAACATAGTTGTGTATTTTGTGTATGGCTTTATTAAATACAAATTGAAGCACCCCTGAGCATATATTTTTTATTTTATTTAATTGGAGTGCAACTACTCGACTTTTTAATATTTTTATTTTAAGTGCAAGAAAAATTCAATTCCAATTTCTCTTTACGGAAAACATTTTTATGAAATATTTTTCAATTTTATCAAGAGCATTTAAATTTAATTTTAATAGAGGGACTACCACTATTGTGGGATCATTTTTAAACTGTTTTTATTTCTCTTACTCACCCACAATTCGCAAGTGTACAATCGCGCTGGCCTTGGGCTCCGTGGAGACCTGACACTCGTAGGTGCCCTCATCCTTGAGTTGCACGTATTTAATCTGCAGGGACCAGCGCTCGGGGTTCGGGGAGAAGACCGACTGAAAGCGTTGATCCGCTATGAAGGTGGTCTGATCCACGGTGAGGATGTGACCATCCCGCATGCGGAGCCACGATATGGGCTTCTTCACCAGCTGTTTGACCTGCGGGTGAGAGTGCAAGATGACAATAAATAACAAAATTAATATCGAATTAGGCAATAATTGAAAGCAATCTGTCAATATTGGTTTCATATTTTAAACTCAATTCAATTGGGAGCTTGAGCTCTGGAAGCCCCGAAGCAAATCCCCAGCTGACTAACTGAATGATGTCAGCGAAACTTTGGCTTTAAGAAAACTTTGGCGCCTACAACAACGGGACAACAACGGTATTGGTGCACAATGTTACCGTAAACAATAACGGCAACAAAATGACAATTCATTTCTGTCAATAATGACAATAATAATTTAGAAGCAATTTTACAAGGCAGCCTTCCGATGCCCCCAGACTCAGACTGAGACCAAGAGGCAGACCCAGCCCCAACCAAGCCGCACGTAAAGAAAATAATATAGCTCGAGACGGAAACTGAAAGACCTTTTATTGAATGTATGTGGCAGTGTGTGGGAGTGTGTGTGTGGGTGTGTGTGGGTGTGTATAAATACATTTTATTTATGTTGCTCGGTGTACCACTTGTACGGCATGTGAACGCCGTTGTATAAAAGAGCTCATCGTAATTACACTTGACACAATTTGTGATTTACTTTTGCCAGACTAGTTTCCCCGTTTGTGGGGCAACTTTTGGAAAAGTTCTGCGCTTATGCTTGTATTGCTTCTGACAGCTAGGGAACTTGTTCGAATTGTCATTGCCATTGATTAAATTACTCAAATTTCTGACATTTTAAAGAATTGTTTTAAGAAAAATAAACAGCTCTGAAGCCAACACATTTTCTGCATTAAAACAATGAACTTAGACTAGGACTTCGACTTGGACTTGGGCTTCGACTTGGACTTGGACCCGGACTAGGACTTCGACTTGGAATTGGGCTTGGACTAGATTAAATATCAAGCCTAATTCCATTTAGTAGAAGCTTAAGAAATGTATTTTAAAGTAACTATGATATATAAATATTTTATAAAGTAGGCTTACTTTTTCCTCAGCAATAAAATAATTGTAAATTATAGCATTTATTTTTCTAAAACATTATTAAACATAATTCTAAATTTCGAATTCCACCCTCGAATTATAACCCAAAAAAGTATGCTACACATTTTGCTTAAAATTAATTCAAAGGGGAATTTTTAGGAATTGGTTGAATTTCCTATCATATCATATTTGATAATAAATTTTTTTGATATTATGTTAAATCGATGTCTTAACATTATTTTTAAATTTCACCTGGCTGACCAGTAGTAAATCCCAGCTACTAGAAATATTATATGACATTTTTTAAAGAAAAACTGTAATATGATACGTATATATTTCTAAATCATCATCTAATCCACTCTAAACTGTGATTCACTTAAAATTCCACGCACACACTTTGCTCGCAGTGTGAGTTGGCGCACATATACCCTATTGTAATGCATGCGGGAGGGTCGTAGGGGCTACGCAGCTGACTAAAACGGCGATTGTGAACCGTCGCGCTCTGGCCCTGGCCCTGGCCCTGGCTTCGGCTCCGTCTCCGTCTCCGGCTCTAGCTGTGACTGTGGGTGAGGCTGGGCCAGTGGCAGTGGCAAATGACAGTCTTTGAACTGCTGTCATCAACTACATTGTCCGCGTTGGCTACGGCGCCAGCGACGTGAAGTAGCAGCTCTGGGCGGGTGACTGGGGCGGGGTGGGAGGTCGCTCTGTTGAACGACGTCATGATTAGATACTATAATCATTTGTGTTTTATGTGCTTGTTGTTTTTCATTGTGGTTGCCGCCCTGTCGCAGTCGCCACGGAACTAAAAGTGTCTGAGGCACGCACACAAAAGGCGACCCACACACAGCCCCCCACGCCCCTTCCCGCACGCCACAACCCAAGCGGCAAGCTGCCCGCCTGTCTGTCTGACTTGGCCATAATTGCTGGCAGTTCCTTTGGCCACCTATCGAAGGCTTGTTGTTATTGCTGGCTGCTGTACGTGCTGTCAAAACTATATGAATATGCCGTACCAGAATTGAGTACACACACACACACACACACACACACACAAACACAAACACCCCACCTATTATGGCTATGTAAACACCATGAGGTTTAGTACACAACATCAGGGATTAATCTGCACAAGCCCAAATTACTAATTCGCTTATGCGATCTACGCTTTATTATAACTGGCGAGATTATTATAGTATTTTCATTAGATTTTTATTATATATTTTTTGAATTTTTAATAAGCTGTCGCATATTTTATAGCCTTGCAAATCGAATGGGTGACAATTTGTGCGCGAGTGTATTTAAATATTGTTGTTTTTTGGGTAAAATGTAGGATGGAAAATGTACTTGGAAAAGGTATATGAAAAGGTCTTTTATGTTGTGTCAAGTTTAATCGCGAGAGTTGCTTGGCATAGAAATAGAGACAATACGATAAAGATAATATCCTTGGTAGAAATTTATTGAAATGATGTTAGGTAATTTATAACCTTTTCTTGGCAAAATGGTTATAAATTAAAATAAATTATGTTTTGCGATGAAAAATGCCTTCACACAAATTTTAAGCCCTCCACAAGGACACGCAAGATTTCAAATATGAAACATAGAAAGCTTTGTTTTTACTATAAAAGCTAAACAAAATTCCTTTAATTAACTGATTTTTATATGAAATATATAAACGCCTCCCTTCTCTTCCATTTACTGCAAACTCTAAATTATCCAGCTATAAATAAACCATTCTGCAGTGTGCGGCACGGCGACTTTATTAAATTTTGCGGAAGGCAGAGAAATCGTGAGTATCGCACAAAGGATGATTATCATCACGCGGAGCATCGACATTATACTCAGTGTATTAAGTGAAGATGCTTATCCAGTTGCCCCAGCTGAGAGACAGTTGGGCAGCCAGCCAAGCAGCTCCTAGGCACGTGCAGAGGCGCAGAGGCGGGAAGTAGGTGTTTGTAACTGGAGCAACTGCTAGGGAACTCCTTCAGCCGCATTTTGGAGTACGTGGCAAGTGTAAGTACACAAGGCGCTCCTTGTGGCACCACCTCCTCCTCCTCCTCCTTCCCATACTTTTGCTGGCTGGCTGGCTCGCTGGCTGACAAATATTCATGTGGCTTGAGGCCCAGGTTGTGCCCGAGCTGGAACACCGCTTGGCGTTAGCTAATTTAAATTCCTCGTTTATGGATGGCGCATTATGCGGCTGGGTTCGTGTAGATTGCGCTTAATTTGCCAAAAAATTAATGACCGTATTTTGGCATCGAATTTATCAAGATGCCTCGCATCGGTCCCATCTCTGTCTGTGTGCGGCTTGGCAATTTAAATATTTTTAATTAGTTGCATTTAATATATACTCTCTCTCTCTCTCTCTTCCCCTCTCTCTTTCTCTTGGGCGAATGTTAGCATTGCATTAAAGTCAAGCTTCTGGTAACGGGCTATAAACCCGGCAAGTGGCACTTATAGTTTGGCAAACTTGACGGGCCGACTGCACCCATATCATATTATATCCAAAGCCAAAGCCAGACCCATCGGCATGGCCATAGTTGTAGTCAAGTTTTTGGCTGTTGGCTTTTATGTTCGTTTTACTTTTCCATTTGCTGTCGTCAGCAGCGATTTTTGGAAAACCAAAGGCACGCAGACAACAAAGTTTACCCATAACATTTGCGAATTCTGTCTAAACTTGTTTGTAAATAATTTCTTTCTTTTATTTTGCCAATTTTTTCACACAACAATACACCTCAAAGAGCGCCAGCCTCGACAAGACCATGGATAACATTTCTTTTACATTTTTTTGCTCTTCTTTTCTTCATATCTGCAAAACGAAAACTTTTCGCAGACTTTGCAAAATAACCCAAAATGAGGCAGGGAAAGGACTGGGCGCAAAATCGCTTCAAAAAAAATATCAAGTGCTCGCAGGCAATGCGCATTTTTTGCTTTTATCTCGATATACGCTCTATGTAACGCCTGCGGCCCAAAATTTATTATTAATTGATTCGGCTTAAGCAGATTTCTAGATTGCGAGCGTAAACATATTATTGGCTCCAAATACAAAATATATGCTTTCTTTTCTCCCTCCCACTTTATCGGATAATCAGTCTTAAGTGATGTGTTTGCTTACGCGTTGCTTAGCCCCAAGGAAAATTTGAATATCTGATGTGCTGTTTGGATGGCCAACGATTCGGTTAGACTTTTCCCAGGCATCACAAAACGATTTATTTATTTATTGCTTGAGCATTCCATATCTTTGAAATGAGTCTGAGGCTTTGAGATATCCAATATATATTTTTTAGGAATGTTTTAAGTTGGTTTAAGATTCACAAGTAGTTCATTATACTTTTTTTATGAGGGAAAACTAATATATCTTCTTCTCTCAAAGGGAAAACCCCTAAGTATATCCAAATTGATTTATATTTATTTAACAGTATTTTTTCTTCTTTAGAAAAATATTCTGATAATGCTCGGATACAAACTCGTATTGCCCGGGCACCAGGAGGACCTACGTTCAAAATTTCTGCTCTTATAGGTTCTGAGATCGACGGACAAACAGACGGACATGGCTAGATCGACTCGGCTATTGATGCTGATTGGAGATGCTTCCTTCTGCCTCTTACATGTATTTGCACAAATACAATTTACCCTTTTTACCCACTTTCAATGGGTTCAGGTTACAAATAATAGAAATATTAAAAAGTCCTTTGTCATTTATATAAAAAGATAACAAATTAAAAAAAAATGCATAAATGAAATAACAAATAAATAAATACAATACAAAAACTTAAGTTAGCTTTCACCTTTTAAATAATTAACATTTTCAGCTGTTTATTTTTTTTTTCATTCCTATTTCTAACAGAAACTTTTTTATAAGTTAGAAGCTATTATTGTTGTTGTTACAGACGAGTTCATTTGAATAAACACGAAGGAGTGAAAACAGAAAAGTGTTTGTTTGTTTTTTAAGCAGCTGCCCGACAGCCAGTTGAGATACTTTTGTATCTTTTTAGTATTTTTAGCAAATGGCAAGCGAAGAACTCAAAATAATTTGCTATATAAACAGAGCGGCAACTTCGCCAATTATAATGGCAATAATGATTATGCTCATGTAATTATAATGATCATTAACGTGACTACCATCATTTGGAGCTTGTGTGCTGCGTGCCAGGGACTGGGCCAAGGCAGCGAGGCTGCAGTAACTAAGTTATTAGCGGATGGACTTCGGCTGCCACACACACACACACACACACACACACACGCGCTGCTGCCACGCCCAAGACACTGTGCGTGTGCGTGTGCGTGTGTGTGTGTGTGTGTGTGTGTGTGTGTGTGTGTGTGTGTGTGTGTGTGTGTGTGTGTGTGTGTGTATGTGTGTGTGTTTGTGTGGTGTGCACTGGGGCCAGGCTTGGAATATTTGGGTCAGCTGCGAAAATGGCGTTGCCTTTGGCTATAAATTGGGCTGACGCTGGAGACTGGGCAGTGGGTAACAGGGAGCAGGAAGTGTTAAGGGTACAGTTGGGGGCTTGGGGCGTGGCAGCAGCAATTTCCGGTTTGTTTTCTTTCAGTTCCGACAGCGCCAAGCGTAAATTAGTTCAAAGCGCAGCAAAGTTGAACTTTGCTCCTAACCCCCGCACCAGCAGTTAAGCAGCAACCGCCATGTCCGCGAATACTCCCGCGCCCCGCTCCGGGTGTGACCACAACGAACCGATTGAGCAAGAGAACTCTGCATAATCAGATGCTTAATATAAATTACCAATGATTATTAAAAAATGTGAAAAAAACAAAAGAGTACGGAAAATGCTTTGTCAATATTTGCTCTGTTATTATAATGCAAAAAAAGAAACAACAAAAAAAAAAGAAAACCTGCGTTGAAAGTAAACAGCGCGCGGAGGGAGCGCTTGATTGGATTTGAGCAAAAATCAATCAACTTTTCATTTTGCCCTCTTCAGCAGCGCAGTTCGGTCAACAACTTAATACTGTGCGAGTATTCAGGCATTATTTGGCATAAGCATCCACTTTATGCAAGTCATTGACAATAGCAACAAAAAAAGGGAAGGTTATTAAAAAATAAAGCAAAATAATCATAAGTACTGTAAGCTCTCAACTTTCAAGGGATGCTCACTTCTCGAAATGTTTAAGACCGCTGAAAAGGTGTTTCATTTTATTTGGAGAGCCCAAAAGTTTGTTAAGCTTGCGGCCTTACAATTAAATACTAAGCCGAATCAATCTAAAGCTCAAACCATGAACACACAGGTCTACATCAATCAAATTGGTTCAGTTTTGAGCATGTTACGGATTAAAGAGGATTAGTTAAACTGGAATGGGTATTAAATGTGGTAAATTTATAATTCCAAAAAAAATTAAAATAATAATAAGTTACTAATATGTGGGAAGTTTTTCGTTCAACTCTAACTCTCGTTCTCTCTCTCTCTTAATCTCCCTCTCTCTCTCTTTCTTTGAAAAATACGTGTGCGGGAAAAAAAAAAAAGTAAATTATTATTTATGTGCAAGAGTTTTTTCTTCAACTCTCTCTCTTTTTTTTTTAATTAGTGTTGAGTAAGAAACATAAAATAATTTATTATTATTTATTTTAATGAGTATTTTTCGCTCAATTCTATCGCCGTCGCGCTCTGTCTCTCTCTCTACCTCCATCTGTTTCTCTATCTCTTTCTTCATCTCACTCTCCCTGTCAATCTCTGTCTCTCAATCTCTCCATCCCTCTCTGACCCTCCCTCTTTAAGAAATGAATTTAAAAAAAATTATTATGATTAATTTAAAAGAGTGTGTTCGTTAAACTCTTTCAAAATAATTGTAGCAATTTATTTTCGCCCACACTAATTCGTTTTAATTTATAAGCTCAAATTTTATTTTGATTTGATTTATTTTCATAATGCATTATTTCGCAAGAAAATAAAAAAGTCATGTATTTATATGAAGCATTAGCCTAAGGGTCCAAAACTAAAGATCGGCTTAGTCTCAACAACATTGACGCTGTTTAAAAGCTGGAGTAAATACCATTGAAGCATTTTTTAACTTAAAAATTGACTTTAGGCTTTGTAATTAAATTGTTTAGATATATTTATAATGCTCTAATCCATGCGCACATTCGCTAGTTGCTTGAACGCATTTCCCAATACAATTATGAAATTAATTGACGCATGTTGAGGCCTAGCCCCCATGTGAGGGTTCTTCGGAGAAGTGTGTGTGTGTGTGGTGGCTAAGCCACATATCACGAATGCCCGCGTGGCGGCTTTTCTCGCCCGGGTGGGCTTTTGTGCAGTTGACCAATTAGTCTTATGGGCAAACAGCAAAGCAGCCCCTGCCCCCTTTGATTGGGTACCACATTTCGGGCGCATTATGGACTGTTAATTAAAGGGAGTGTGGGGCTTGAATTGAGCTTCACTTACATTGCAGGGCAGATAAGCGTGGGTTCCCGCTTGGCTAATTATTGTCTGGTAATCATCTATTGTTGGCGGTGGCTTCAACGTTGTGCTCGGTGTTGGTCGACGTGTTGTCGTAGTTGCTGTCGTTGTTGTTGTTGACTCTTCCGTGGTTGTTGTTGCTGCTGCTGCTGTGGCTGCTTCGACTGTTGCCGTGGAACTGTTACCCTTGCTGGCTGCCAACAATGCGTTGGGCTGCGTAATTTTGTGCTTGTGCTCCAATGGCTCCTGCTCCTCCACATTTCTATTGCTCATAATAAGATTTGCTTGCAGCGCGGCCGTCACCACCGGCACGGATGTGGCCTTTGTGTATCCGCTTGTCCTCTGCCGTTGTCGAGCCTCATTGTTGCTAATGTTATTAATGTTGCTGTGGTTGGGCAATGCAGTTGCTGCTGCAGCTGCAATAGACAAACTTGCATTTGTCTGCATAGTTGTTGTTGTTGTTGTTGTTGCTGTTGTTGTTGCTGCTGCTTGCTCGTCATTTGCTTTGGCAATTTGCGTTGTCGCCGGAATTGATGGCAACGATTTTGCGAATGTCGCCTCTCCCTTTGATTGACTTTCATGAAATGTGCCGTCATTTATTCTGTCGCTCCTTAATATTGACGATGTGGCCATTGCCGCCTCCAATCCTCGTTCTGCTGAGAAAGAAAGAGAGAGAGAGAGAGAGGGCGAGTGAGAATTGTAGAGAAAAGCGCATTGTCAGCTACAAATTAATGTGTTTGTGTTTTGTTTTCAGCCTGCCCTTTAAGCTGCTTACATATTTCAAATGCCCTGAGCCCATTTATCTAATAGGCCCAGCAACAATTAAATTGATTTAATCAACGCATACAGTTCAATAAATTAATCTCGACAAGTTTAAGAGGTTGCACCACCCAACTACCCAACTACCCAACCACCCAACCACCCGACCACCCGCCGCTATCAAGTGGCATTCATCACGTTTTGGCTCTGCCTGCATATTAAAACAATTTCGAAATTAATTAGCTAATTACCTTCAAGTAGGCAAAGCAAGTGGAGTTTGTATTGATTTGCATAATTTAGGTGGGCACGGCTGACAGACACACGCCCAGACGGACGGCCCTCATAAAAGGCCCATTTGAATTGAAAAAGAAAAAGAACTTTTTCAAAAGTTTATTGTGCCGGTCGCCAAAAGCTGGGCTGGGCTGGCCATGGTGAGAGGGGGAGGGGCATTGCCTGGTAATCATTATATAATCATAGAAATTAAAAGCTCCGGTCGAACCACGCAGCAGACGAGCAGTAGACACACCCTTAAATTTAATTTGTTTTTGTATCTGATCTAATTAAAGTTATTTACTTAGGCAAATGCCTCAATTATATCATTAGCACTCTAAACAAATACTTGCTAATTTATAGCTAATATTTTAATGGGCTAATTAAATAAATTATCTGCTAAACATGTGATTATTAATTACGTTTTTAATTATTTGTGCCTCTGGCTCTCTCTAAGCATGGCCAATTTTTAAGCTAAAGTCAAACAAAAATGTATTAAAATATATAGTATAGTTAATTCAATTAAGTTTCGATCGGAACCGAAGAGTTTACACATTTTTCCTATCTTATTTATTTATTCCTGGCTTCTATGATGTACAGATAATTCTGTAATTCACTCTAAAGACTGTACAAAATATTGAAATATTTTCAAAGTGTCCCTGGCAGTTAACCTTTTATATTTCGAACACACACACATACCCACACGTGCCTGCTATTAAGCCAGAAGAATTGCAATAAGATATAATAAATTGGTAATAATTTATGCACCTATGACACTTGTTGGCTACCTTCCCTATCGAGGGGCGTGGCTGGGGCTGCGCGTAAATTTGCCAAATTGATTCCATAAATTTTGCAACGAACAATTTTGCAGCAATACAAAAAGAACAGCCAGAAGCAGCGAACAGAGGGCGAGAGGAAACTGTGTCGTGCCACAGATAAAAATATGCCTGCCACACGCTGTGCACCAGATGCACTGTGATTTCTTCAATTTAATTAGTATTGAGTGCAATTTTTAATTTGCTGTCAAGTGTAAAACTCAGAAATGCACAAATTCACAAATTACATGCTTCATAGTTTGTAGGACTGGCAAAAACTTTTGCTACGTTGCACGCGGCGTATGCGTAATATTTAGATGGGCCTCGAGCCCAGAAGAAGTTATTGCTCGTTAATTAAGTTATGCGCTGCGGAAAGAGCAACTGTCGAAGAGCTTGGCAGCTATTGAGCACTTATAAGACCGAACTCTTAACCCAACTATCTAATCAACAGGCGGGGGAACGCGCAGTACGAAGTGCTGCCAGCAAATGCAAAACCCGAAGGCGGCCTTTAACGAGCCGCAGCTTGAGTGCGTGCGAGTGTGTGTGTTTGTGTTTATGTGCGTATCTGTGTCTGTGTGTGCGCCATGTTATCATGTTTTATGTTTATGCGACGTGTACGTGCAATAAAGATAAAGCGATTTCATATAAAAACTTTTTAATTGCCTGCACTAATGATGCACTGCAACAACTTGATCATAATAATTATTATTATTTTTGTAATAATCAAATTGCCCGAATGCCACACAATTGTGCACACAACCATAACTGTACAAGAGGCCTAAAAGTTGCTATGCATGCCAAAACTAATACAATAATTAAGTTTAAGATTTATTTATAGAAATCACAACTAGAGCTGAGTTTTTAATTTCTTAATTAATGTTGACCAAAAGAAAGTTTTATCAAATAATACGTATTTATGTGGGCGAAAATAAATCTATTTTCCCAATGTAAAAAGTTAAAATTCAACTATCTAGTGGTTTTTCCTATTGTCTTTGAGTATGTTTAAATACGGAAAACATATTTCCTTTAGACTTTCTGCCATTTTAATGACTTTGAATTGAAATATATTTTAAATTGAAATAAATTATTTTTGTATGTATTTTTTTTATTAATTTTATAAAATATTTAGTATTATTTTTATTTTTAAATATGTTCATAAAACATTCTCAAGTTTGAATATTAATAAAATATACTTATAAGAGATGCAGTACGTTGCATCGGGATTCACGTTAAAAAAAAAAAAAAAAAAACAAATTAAAAAATGGATTTCTAAATATCTTGAAGATATTTATTTAAAAAAATCTATTCAATATATTTATTTAAACTTATGCTATGCATTTTAAGCACATTTATTCCTTCTAAACAGAGCGCTTGTATACGAAATTATTCTCTTCTGATTTGCGGAATGCGGCCCATGGTGCGTGGGCTGCCTCAACTCATTAACCGCAAACAAGTTAAGGACCAAACAGCTGTCGAGCTGTGCGAGTTCAAGGCATATAAAAGCGAAACATGAATATTTTGTGGACGAGGCGGGGACGTGGCAGGCACAAATCAAAACAGCGTAAAAAAAGCAAGAGGGAAGCATGCGAAACTGCAATAAAACAAGTGAATTACGCGAAGGAAACGCGCCAGGCGCAAAAAGAAAAACAGAATAATAAAGCGGGAATATTAAGAAAAATATCATATTGGACGGACGGGCGAGAACAGCAGTCGCCGCAGCCTTAAAGTATGCTACGAAAATTTGCTTAATCTCTGCGCAGCAGATACGAGCCCAGGCAACAAACTAAAAAGTTATAAAAAGTCACACCCACACTCACACGCACGCACGCAACACACGTAAATTGTGCGCAGAGCAAAATATAAAAAGATACAATGACGGCCGCTCTCCCACCCAGTACTTGCCCCAATTGGTGGCACAAACTTGCGTAATGGGGCTCGACCAAGCGGCAAAGGCGACTCGATGACTCGCTGCCAGACGGAGCCTGCGGCTGCGGCTACGGCTGTCTCCAAGATTGAGTTTGAGCCTTGAGTGGAGACTCGAGACAAAGTCTGAGATTGTGCCATGAAATGAGTTTCAGCCTCGTCATGCAGCATTCGCAACGACTTAACTACTAAAAGCATTTAATAAACGTTAGACACAGCCCTACACAAACGCACACACACTAACACTGGGGGCTCTTCTCATACTAAAATTAACCAGCTAAATCCCGTGGGCACTTAAGTCAGGATCAAGTCTACCAATAAAACCATCCAACAGACGTACTCATAACATGTCAGCCCCCTTCGCCCTTCCTCCATTCCACTTACATACTTAATTTGCCTACACTTGTCAAGAAGTCCATCCCCCCGCTCTCAACACACTACGAACTTTGGATTGGTGTGCAAATTGATTCTATTGGGAAACCGTCAAATTCTTAGAAATTCAAAACGGGCTTGAATTAAAAAAAAACTTGCAAATTCTTGGAAGATGTCAATCACTTGTATCAATTTGGGATAGGAAACACATTTCTTGGAAACATTTTTCCAAATAAAAAGAAAATTAAATCCAATTCAATTCAGATTTTTTAAACAACTGGAAAAAGTTCAAGTTATATCTTTGTTTTTAAATGAATACAAATAGCAAAATGAAAATTTAATTAGAAATGAGAAAATGAGAAAAGCAAGGACTCTTCTTGTTTAATTAATGATTCTTAAACTGTAATAATGACTCTCAAACTGTGACTTAAAGAAATAACCATTTTTGCTTGAATTGAGGGGACAAAAGTGAGATCTAAGTCTGTAGATAATAAATATGTCGTGGGTGAAAAATAAAATAAAATATATGTATACTAGGGAATATTATCCGGCATTGCCCGTCATTTATAAATAATCTTGAATATGCACGTGGCACCGAAATTGTAGCTCTATTTATTAACACGCGTCTTTGCATTCGCCCTTGACACTTGCTGCTAAATTTGAACCGGCAACAGAAACTCTTCTTATATATAGGTTAATTCCAGAATATACAATTTAAGTACCAAACATATGTATCTCTATTTGATTATTAAATCAAGTAGTTAAAGTTAAAGCTTTTGTGGTAAAGCATTTTTGGCTTAAGCTGAACTAAATTGCTTTAACCCTTCTTCAGCTCTTGTGCTTAACTTTTGAAACATAATTTACACTTGAGTACATTTAAGAACACATGATTTTCTTTGTGTGTAATCCCACAGATGTTTGTCCGCACCCGTCCCGCTCCGTGCCGACAACAAATCGACACTTTTCCTAATTATGATGGGCATGTTGTTGAGTCGACTCGAGTCGACTGGAGTTCGAGTTGAGCTGTTGATGAAAATTGGGCCTCGTTCGGAGGATGGTCATGGTCATGTAATCTCAACTGAAACACCACAGAGCCGGACACTCCGCTCATCAAATGGCTGTCGAGAGGGCGCTAATAATGATGACGGGCGCCGCCCGCAGCCCGCAGCTCGCTCCCAGCCACGGGCCGTAATTTGTGTAATAATTGCGCCTAAGCGTTTAAGTCAGGCGTGCCAGTTGAGCGGCTAACCAGTGGCATCTCGAGGGAGCCAGAGCCGGAGCCGGGCACTTGTCTGACAAGCTAGCAGTAGAGGGGTGGGGAGTCAGAACTGGGGCTGTGACTGTGGCACCAGCAGCAGCCAAAAAGCCAAAAACAAAACAACAATGAAGAATGGCGGCCAAATGCCTGTGGCCGTGGGCAAGTGAATGAGTTAGTTACTCGCCAAATGCCTGGCCACACTTTAGTCCTGGCAGCCCTCAGGCCGCCGGACGGGCGGGCGGCAGTGCTACACAGTCTGTTTTGTTACAAGCATTCAATGGTGCTCGACTTGCTGCAGAATTTGATTAAACAAAAGTAAAAGTTTTCATCTCGAGCGACGAGCAACAGCAGCAGCAGCCACTTTATGCCGCACGGTTTTGTTGTTGTTTTCATTGTTCGACTTGGTCGCAATTTTCCCTTCCTATACCCTCCATATATATATATATATGTACATATATATATAGAGATTTCCCGGGTAAATTCGTTGTTGTCGGTCTTGTAACTGGTGGCTGGTCCAATTGTAGTCGGAATTGTGGCCTCTCAAGCGCTGCGTCCACCACTTTCATGGCCAACAATCGCAAAAATCAACAAGAAGCAACTGGCAATTTTGTATTTCACTTTCTGACATACAGACCGGCAAATGCTCTGCCAGAGCTCATACGGATATATGTGGCAGATGCATATGTGTATATAAAAGAATTAATGAGAAATCTTCAAATATCGCAAACGCATAGAACTTTTCATCAGCTTGGGATTTAAATTAATAAAAAATTAGGTTTAGCAAAGTGTATATCAATTTTTTTACTACAATAACAAATATATTTGTGGGTGACGTATTTCCCAGACAATAGAGCTCATTTAAGGGCTTGGGTAAAAAAAAAACAAGCCGCATTTGTCTTCGGCTACAAGTTATATTTTCCAGCTTTTAACACAATTTCCGAGTAAGTCGCCCGGATACGCCCACACGTCACCCTTTGGCCACTCACAAATTTGAATCATATTGCAGCACTTTTTCAACATTTTCTCTTTTATTTTTTTTTTGTGAAGAAGTGCCCAAGCGTTTGATCGCGTTTGGCTCATTGAATTGAGTCTCGTTTTTATTTGTTTTTCTTTCTTCTTTTTTGGGTTTTTCCTTTTGCCATTTAAAATTTTAAGTACCCTTCAGGATAATTATTTTTTTTTGCTGGCGCTGAAGGACTCCTTTGTTGTGTGTTTTTGGAGTGCAACTTTTGACTGGCATTTGGCAAAAAAACAATTCTGCTAAATGTAGTCTTTTAATTAACCAAAGCTTAAGGTAAACAAAACATATATGAACTGTAAAGCAAAAGGAAGTTCTTTAGAAAATACTTGTTGAAATGTAAAATGGCAAATTAAAATAATTAGTTTAAGTTTAGGAAAAACTTGAATACATAGTTTTAATTTATTTTAATTTTACCATATATCTTGGTATTTTGAGACCATTTTGCACTCTTACAAAAAATAGGTTTGATAAATTTTACGTAACGTTTTATTTTACGTAAGTCTGTTACACAACTTTGGAATTGAACAGCATTAAGGTCAAGAAAGCCTTTTGATTTCAGATAAAATAAAAACAACTTAATGAAAATTATTTATTTTATACAGAAGGATTTTATATAGTTTTTTTTATTTAATTAACGGCTTTTTATTTGTTTTGAACCATTTTATTAAATATTTATTTATCAACACAAAGCTTGAAACATGAGAGAGATTATATGTGAGATTATATGATTTGGTTTGAATTATATATTTATTAAATTAAGTATAAGTATGTCTGTAAGTATTCTTTCTTTAGTCTCCCTGATCTTTATTCGTTGAACGCTTGCCACAGGCTGACACTTCTTAACACTTATGCTTAACATAATCTTTAACATGAATGGGACCTCTTTCTAAACATATTGAATCATATTCTATTTGATATCCACCATATTAATAGGGCAATTCTTTCTTCTCTAATATCATTTGCTTAGAAAAATAGAAACTTTACCTTTCTACACATTTTTCGCTCTGCATTTTGGAAATCTATCCATTCTAATGCCAATTACTTAATCACATATTCTTTAGCCAATTCTTTAAGTTAACCAGCAGAAAGTTTAAAATAGCAGTGCATTTCAGTAACTTAAAGCTCATATCTGTTAAAATATTAGTTAACGCCTCAATATTAGTTAACCCAACCGCAGCTTATTTCCACCCTACACCCCGCACACTAACGCCGCCAATCAAATTATTATTATTGCCAAGTACACAAAGAGCTACAGAGGGCATATAAAAGGAAGCAAAGTTTGATATGCGGCAAATGTAGCACCAAAAATAAAATTAAATAAAATGAAAATAAAATTTGATATTATGCAAACTTACCCGCTGTGGCACAGTGGAGCAGCTGTGGCTGCAGGACGAGGCAGATCAGGAGGCAGAGGCAGAGGCTGGCGAAGATCGTTGCTGGGTGCTGGGAGCGCATGTTTCCGGGGCCTCTATTAAAATGCCGGGTAAATTAATAATCCGCGTGCTCTACTGGTATGCTGTCTGCCAGCAAATCCGCTTAACTGGGTCACATGCGCCGTTTGGCAAATGCGGCAGGAGTGGAGCGTGCCACACGAGCTGCTCAGCCGCATGCAGCCGCTGCGGGCGATGCGAAATATTTTCTACGCTCTTCTGGCTGATATTGATATTGTTGTTGCTACTGCTGCTGCTGCTTATTATGGTTAGTTTGGTTTAAGACACAAGATAGGTCTGTCCAGTGGTTGGGCTAATACGGTGGTGGCCCTCAAATTGGTTGCTTTGCCTTGTTCTTTACGCACACAATTGCGAGCTTAGCATATAACACAATTGCACTCTCGACCAGATGCCACAGCTACAACAACAACAACAACAACAACACGTGGCAAGTTTTAAATATTCTCACATTGGCTCCCGCTCGGCATTTTTTCTATTTTATGGCAAGGTCTTGTGCAAAATCCGTTTTTGAAATGTTTGTGTGTGTTTTAGGTTAAGTTATGTGGCCAGCAGCAGCATATAAGTTTAGCAGGGCGTTCCAGCAAACCGAAAAGCCTTTTTTGCGCAAGTTTTACCTGTGCATTTTACTTGTGTCTCTCGGCGTTGCAACTATAAGCACTTCAGCAAACTGTTAAGTACTTGAAAGTGTTTGACGACGCGCTTCAAGAAAACTATTTGCAGAGATCTTAAGTCTAGCCTAAGTTGTTGAGTATGACAAAAATGTTAAAAATCGCCAAGAAATATGTCAAAGTTTGCCTTGCTGTGTACCACTTAGATGTGTAGTACTGTAATTATAAGCGTACCTAGTGAGCACTTAGAAAAGTTAACCATGCCAATATTATAAAGTCAAGACTTGAATTTCTATTAACATTTTCAAGACATCGTTCAAAAGTATGCTACACAAATTTTAAATTATTTTGTTAGCTGCGCTCTTGTTAGGCATAGAGTACTGTAGCTAGCAGCTGAAAAGCAGCTGGCAAATACTTGAAATACTTAGACTAGCTTGCTTTTATAAAGAAATGCCAACATGTCTTAAAGTTCTGGCGTTATGACGCGGCTGCTTCAGAACTGCGCTGAAAAGTATGCTACAAAAATGAGAATATTGCGAATTGCTGGCGAAATTGCTTTCAGGCACACATGTAACTGTGTGTGAGTGTGTGTGTACTGAGGCATTCCATGTGGCCGACTGCTGCTGCTGCTGTTACCTCATCTTTCTTTTACGCTCGAGACTATTTGGCATTAACGAAATTTATTTATGCGGGTGTTTAGTCGGGCGTAAAAGGTGTGCATATGGCCAGGCAAGCACGCCCCCACACAAACACACACAGACACACACTTAGGCAGAGACAGGCACAGACAGCACTTGGAAATGCACGACACGCGCTTACGAATTGAAAGGATTTGCCAGCCTTCTGCTTGGGCTTAGACTTGGGCGTGTTGCCAGGATTCGGGTTCGAGTTCGAGTTCTGCGCTTGACCCGGGTTTTGTTTTCAGTTTGTGCGGCAAATAATGATTTAAATGCCTTTTGTTCTTGCCGCACCATACAAAGCCGAGGAGGCTTTGAGAAATACCAGCAATACATAAGTAATGGCAACCGGTTACCAACTGGTTCATTCAAGCGTTAACGCAAATGTTAAACAAATGTTATGTTCTGGCCGAATGAATTGCATGCATTAAGGAGCTGCCTCAAGCTGCTGCTGCTGTTGTTGTTGTTGCTGATAAAGTAAATAATGCCAAATTGATTGCACAAACAAAACAACAAGCGGAAGTGTAAATGATTTAACACAAGTTCCCGTTGCTCTCCACGCTATCCTCTCTAGGCCTTCAACTCCTGACTTCTGTTGGCTGTGCTAAGCTTTTTCTCTGATTCTTGTTGTTGTTGCTGCTGCTGCTGTGGCAAAGCAAACAGCTGAGAGCGGAAGATGAAATTTGTTAGCCGCCAAACCGGAAACAGAAATTTTTCTGACTTGTAATTTAGTTTATTGTTGCGCCCATTATATATATATATATTAATATATATATAAATATATATATATATATTTATCCGGATGTCTACATTATATTTTGGCTTTTATTTTATTGTTTTTATTGATATTAAATATTAACTTAAGCTGTGTGTGATTTTCATGGTTAGTTGTATATGTAAAGCAAATCACATAACAAATAATAGAATTAAACGGAAAAAGGCCGACATAAAACGGAATAAATTACAAGAATTTTCTTGCTTTGTATTCAATTATTAAGTATTTTAAAGCGCCTTTCAACCTTTCACAAAATCCTTTTGAAACATGATTTGTTTGGGCAGCTGTGTGTGAAATCCAAGAAAATCAGACAAAATAAAAACAGCATGTGGGCAAATTTATAATATATTTATTCTTTCAAAAAAATTAAGTCAAATAAAAGAACTTGATGATATACGAAAACTATGTGAAAATTAAAATCATATTTTCAGCTTGTTTGCTTAAGTTCAGATTTATATAATTAAAATAAAATGTTTTTAAATTAGTATTTATTTTAATCTATAATTTTTTTTTTTTTTTTTATTGTCTTTTTTAAATATTTGTATATATTACATTTCTAAAAATATTAATTTTAGTTCTGAGTTGTGAGCTTATATTCAGATCATTTTAAAATTCACCATATAGCACATTAAGTTCTCACTTATATTGTTTAATGTCATACATTTTTTTCATATTCATATTCATTCATATTTATTCACTGTGTTCACACTATATATTCACTTGTTAAGTTCAACGAATTTGCTGTTCCGCACCTGCGATTCGCAAAACGATGCGCACGCGACACCGGCTAAAAGTAGACTAAACGATGCCAACGAAACGTGGGAGATGCTGTTCGGCTTATGTTACTCAACAGCTGTAAGCCCAGAGAGCAAACAAGAGCGCGAGAGCGTTTGCTAACATAACGTGCATAACTCATTTAATGTTAACTTTGCTAGTAAGATTTGCTGTGCTGTAAAGCAACTGTTAAATGTTACAGCACTTGGTCAGTTAATGGCTTCGTTGGGCCGCACGCGCAAAATGCAATTATTGTGTTTTAGTGTTTCTGCTGTAAAATATCTATTTATACGATCGTATTTAGCATTTCAGCAAAATGGCTCATTAGGATTTTAATGGCTCAAGCATATACAGCTCAGTCCTTAAGCGCTGCCCAATTCAAGTGATCCTATCATAATCATAACTTAACATAAGACAATTAATCCTCTGCTGAATATTGTTGGCAATTTACACAAACAAATTGTGAAGAGCAAAACACACAAGCACTTACAGACGCTTAACAGTGCGATAACACTATTTCTCATTAACGTCAAGCCGGCAGATTGGGCGGCACACACAATGGAGCCATAGAGTCGATAGAGTTGTGAAAAAATAGAGCTGCCTGGGAACCCTAAGAAACAAAGAACAACATGGCAAAAGCAACGGCAACAACAGTAACGGCAACAACAACAATAACAACAGCAAGCAAATGCAGGCGCATTGAGCAAAACTAGGACACACGCAGGCAACAACAATGAAAAAGCAGCATTGAAAACGTGCGTCGCAGGACGACTGGCAAGTGCAAAGCACAAGGATAAGCATAATATGCCAACGCACACACGCACACAAAAAGGCAGCTAAAAAGAAAACAAAAGACCAAATTATTATGCAGACATACACGCAGGCCATAGATGTGCCGCGACAGAGCGAGAGTGAGAGGGAGCGAGCCACACGCAGTGATTGAGTGAGCGAGCGAAATGATGATTTGAGAACAATGCATTAGAGTGGATCGGGCAGGGGCGGGGCGCAGACTTTGCATAAAATTCAATTTGTCGTGTGCAGCAGCCATGAATATGCCGTACAGCCAAGCTTAAGCTGCCGCTGCCGCTGCTGCTGCTGCTGTTGACACTGAAGCCCACATTCTGCTGTCTGCTAGTATATAACATAGCTCAAGCCACTCTCGCTCTCTCTTTCGCCTGCTCATGCAATTGCAATTGATGTTATTGTTGCTATTGCTGTTATTGCTACTGTTGTTGTGGCTGTTGTTGTTGTTGTTGGCGCATCGCATGCAGCCGCTGTGGCGTAACATATGCGCGAAATTACTTACGAGGCATCGCAGTCGCAACCGCCGTCGCGTCGCCGTCGCCGTCGCTGCTGCTGTCACTGGCAGCAGCGCTGGTCTCCTGGAACTGGTTCTGGTTCGGCTGCTGTTGGCTTGTAAAACAATGCCTGCATTTGGCTGCACACAAGACACATGCAATTATTAACAAACACTCAAATGCACACACACACACACTCATACACAATATGTAACAGACAATTGTACACTTTTTTGTGGCATTTTCAGCAGTTAAAACAATCGCACACAACGCTGGCATATTAAAAACTTTTTCGCTTTTGTTTTGCATTTTTTGTGGCCGGCAGTTGATAATTATCGAGACCCTAAAACGTTTGCCATGGCCACAGCCGAAGTGGCCTATTATGTGGCAACAAATGAATGATAATCAGCCAGCTGATAGGGCCCAAGGGCTTGTCTGGAGGGGCCTGCTGCGGCACGGCTGGCATTTTGCTTGTCATATGCTTGGCCACAGCATGTCCAAAGTTTTAAGTGAGTTCGAGTGCGAGAGTGTGTTTGTGTGAATGTGTGTGTTTTGTCCTGTTTTAGCCAGTTTGAGTGTCATGCGAGTTTTTCCAAGTGCTCGAGTGTGACACAAATATTACGCATACGTCATGTGTGGCAAGGACTGATTGAAAGTGTTTTAGAGCTTAACTTGTTGACAATCTAATTTAAAAATATGTGCTCTAAACATTATTTTAAAAGCTTTACACTGCAAGTTGTTAGAAAATCTGAAGAGACAATATTTATGTATAACTCGTATTTATATTTAAGTATAACTCATAATTTATGCCCAAAATATTTGTTTCGACATTAAAGGGTTTCTGGCCCACAGCATTTGCCTTAAATTATTTAATGATATGTCTATAAGGCATGTAATGCGATTTTTGTGGCCACTTGTAAAAATTACTTATGCAAAAGTGCAGCACTCTGCTGTTTCACTCAATAGCACTCAATTAAGGAGCTGTTGGGTGTGAGAATTGCTGCGTTTTTCTTGCTGCACAACTTTTCCACACCTTTCACTTTTACAGGTCGTTAATCACAGAAATTCAAAATGTGGGAAAACTTTAAGAAGCAGAGCCAGAGAAAATAAAATGATTTAAAAAAATTGCGTGAAGATACGTCTGTGATAAAAGAATGTGCGCTCCAACGGCTCAGCTGACATAATGCGATTAAATTGGACAAACGCTTTTGTGATTACAAAGATAATCAAATGAAAATCGAAAACAGAAAGCGGCAGCAACAAAAAAAGAAACGAAAAAAAAGTCTAGAAAGAAACTAAAAATGAGCCAGCAATTAAGCTGTAAATGAAGTTGCAATTGAGTTCGACATTTTCAGCGCTTTAATTAAGTTACGGCTTAGCGGGCAGAGTCAGCAGCAGCAGGCGGATATTACGTATACGTACTAGTGCAGCGCGGCAACCAGGCGAGTTGTGCGGCCTTTGGGCCAAACGCAAACAATTCACGTCAATTAATTGTAGCTGGCTGTGAGCCGGTAAACACAAAGCCGAACTTCAACCGCAGCGGCGACATGACGACAACTACATAGATTACGATTGCCCCGGACAAACAAATGGCAAACGGATCCAGGACGAGGCAGGCAGGCGCAACAAATCTGCAATTGCAAACGAAAATCTGATAACAGAAGCTGCAACAATTTTTGCAACGGCAACAAGAACAACATCAGCTAATAACTGCCAAAGGCTGGGCTTAGTCAAAGTTTAGCCCCAGCAGCGATATAAATTCTGTGGTTGCAGCTTCTCTACTGCGAGCCGGGACATGTGGCAGCAGCTCTATCGAAAGTTTCGGCAAGAGATAAACGCAATTAATTCAAAATTTATTCGATACCAAAGAGAAAACGACATGAGCTCCAGCTCCGGACTGGACAAATAGGCATTGTTGTTGCCTCTGTTGTTGTCTCTGTTGTTGCTGCTGCCGTTGCACATTAGGCGTTGTCATGACGGCTGCAACACAGACTGCATTAGCCTCAAGTGCAATGTGACAGCAGCAACGAGTCGAGTGACAGCAATACTAACAGCAAGTCATACACTTGTGTCTACAGTCATGTCATCTAGCCCCACACGCCCCACACGCCCCCACGCCCTAGAAGTTTACACAACCCTCAGCATCTATCATTTATGCTTGCTGACTGATTGATCCGGCACACTCTCCACAGTGCTCGACATTTGAAGTGGGGCAGCTAAACGCTGCATGAGTATTTCAGAATCTGTTGCCTGAATAACACGTTGCATGTGGCATAAATCAGCAGCAATTGTTGAATCCCTGAAGCTGCTAAACATTTTAATTGCTGATTAGCTAAGGTTATCAGTTTTTTAAAAGGTCATCTGAATAATTAGTTTCAACTGCGAGTATTCTATAAACTACAAAAAACGCTCGATACCATATATCGATAAAGTGTTATCTAAGCTTTGATACAAATTATCTTTATTTATCGATAACTCTTGAAAAAGAACCTTGCAAGACTTATCCAAATGTCCTAAGCTATGCATTTAAGGAGTGATTAATTCATTATTATTTTCGGTCAAATTTTTCTAAGTTAAGGTCTGGGAACAAGTATATATAGGCTACTATAGGCTTTTGGGGCTAGAAAATATTTCTTAAATATATTCCCAAGTGAGAATACTTGAAAGCAGAAAATATATATATATATATATACACAATTATATGAAAACATACCAAAGAGAGTTAAGCTCGTGCTTATTAGCGCCCAGGATTAAAGCATCAAGAATATAATCGAGTGTGTACTGTAAACAAAAGAAAATTCATTTTGTCGTATAAATATTGACCTTGCTTAAAATAAAATAATTACCAATATTGTATAATCATTTAAATTACAATTCAATTGATAATACTTTTAATATTTTTCTATTTTTGATTCAATACAATAAACAAAAAAAAAAAAAAAAAAAAAAATATTTTTCTTTCAAAATGCACAAATTTTTCGGTTAATATATTTAACCCAATTTACGAAAATTCGATTGTATCTAAAATATTTTTTATATACTTTATTTACCTTCTATTTCTATCAAAAGCTCCAAAAATAACAAAATTTAATATGAAATTTCATACCATATCATTTAGCTGGTAAATCCCCTAGTAAACTTGTAAACTCTGTGTACGTAGCTTAGATACAGTTCACAAACGAATGAAAGTGCAAATGTTTCACAAATCCACACCCTATGACCCCCTCCCCACTTCGACGTCCTTGCCCGTTTTCAGCGCAGACAGCAGCAATTACACATTTACACTTTCAGTCAGATACTCCCCACATGGAGCTATTGGATATCATTAATGCGGTTAAATTGTATAACCCACTACTGTCAGAGGCTGCTTACTGGCCCAAACGGGCATCTGGATTTTAGACCCCACTCTGCAAAAGCTTATGTATGCTTGTGTGTGTGTGTGTGTGTGTGGTTGGGGAATTCTCTGTCAGGGTTTCAGACATGTTCCAAGTGCCAAAAAGGAAAGTCTGGCCAACATTTTTGCCTTTACTCTTGCTTTTATTTTCTTTCATTTTTTGGTACACATTTAGCCACAAGCCCAGACAGCTATGGCAAGAAGAAGAAGAAAATGTATCATAGTGAAAACAACAACAAGTTGACTCTGTTGCTCCATTTGCAACATTTATGGTGTGTGCTGTCTGTGTGTGTGTGTGTGGAAGGTCATTTTATTGTTTCCAGTCAAAATGGTCAAATGGGAATTTGTTTTTAGCCATTTTTGTTGTTGTTTCTGTTGTTTTTTTGTGCGTTGCGATTTGCCTATAGATTTAGATTGAGCTGTCGTACATGTTATTGGGCTTGGGCCGTAACGAAAACCCGGCGTCAGCCAGTCAGACAGCGCCAGAGATTGCTTAGCATATCATGTTAGTTAAAGTTGGAAGAGAGAGAGAGAGAGAGTGGGTAAGCCGAATGATTAGAATAATCGCCGTAGGTGGTTTTTTGAGCTGACTCCATGACACCCATTCGTATTGAACCGGAGCGAACCAGAACGAATTCAGTGTTGGCTCATAAAATTTGCAAACCTTCAATAGTCAGTTTTGCCAGTGTTTAAAAATGTTTATTGCCCTCGCATGGGCTTAAGGCAAACGGCTCAATTCCCAGTCAAAGTGAATTTTATGGCCATGTGCAATTTCTGGTCTAAAGGGTCGATTTGGGTATTTGGCAAATGAAAAGCGCTTTTCCTTGAGCCAACCCCAGCAGCCGAAGGGCGCCCAAAGGACAACAAACAAATATTTTTCTATGCACATCAATTCAATAGCTATTCATGCCAACTTCTCAATTTATTAAGGAACAAATGTTCTTAGCTAACATTTTGGCTTTAAAAGTCCTTTAGCTTTAAGCCTGAGCCAACTAATTAAATTTAATTATTGATAATTAACAATTTCATGAAACTCTGCAATTGCTCACAAGTAGCTGAAAGTTTTCCAAGCACAGCAAATTTATTCAGTTCAACCTACCAAATTTCTGTGGCGGTTGCTATTTCGCTGCAGGGAGCGCAGCGGCAGGAGTGGGCATAATAATTTATTTTCAAATTCAACCATGTCCTACACCAAAACTCGTCGTCTTTCGCAGAGGAGGACAAAGCGGGGTTTCGGGGTGGTATTTAAGAGTTTGTTTGTACAGCAAATGCCAACGTATTCGCATAATTTTATTCAGATTTCATTGTTAAGCGCGAGCTGACAAATTTTGCAAAGCTGACAAAATGTTGTTGGGTGGAGGGGGACGTTCGGGGGGTCTGGGGAGATATATTATAAATGTGTCTGTGCTGCCACGCCTTGCAATTTATTTATCATTGCGTAAAAGTGTCCAAAACAGTAAGACATAGATTTGTTCTTGTCTGTGTGAAGCAGCAGCTTATGGAAGGATAAAAACTTTCTTGAACAGCATTTATTAATCATATTTCAGATATTCAACATTAGTTAGATATTGACAATATCATTATTGCTTGAACACACCCAAAATTTTCTCTATTTCGCAGATGCGATCCAAGACTTCTTGGTTTCGAGCTCTTTGATCCTTGAGCTTGTCCGCTATAGCATCCAAGGTAGCTGCGATGGCCAACAGCGACACATCTGTCGTATTGAGATCCCTGCGAGTCGGATATATCTTTGCCACGGGCACAACTCCAGACTGATCCCCATCTGCATTCGAAGAACCAACTGTTGCACCTAAAAGTGAATCGTATAATTAAATAGAACTGCCAGCAGATTCGCCCGAACCTAAATCCGTAACAGCTGCTGGTGACTCCGTTTGATTAGTAGGTATATCCATTGGTACGGAGCTGGCTACTGGGGTTGCCACTGGCTCAGCTACCTGAGCCGGACTCTCCACGACAGCTTCTGGCGTTGCCACTGACTCTGTTACTAGAACCGGAGTTACCGCGAAAGCTAAGGGCGATGCCAGTAATTCAGCTACCGGACCCAAAGTCTCCGCGACAGCTACAGGAGTTACCACTGTCTCAGCTACCGGAATAGGAGTCTCCACGACAGCTACTGGCGTTGCCACTGGCTCAGCTACTGGAACTGGGGTCTCCACGACAGCTACGGGTGTTGCCACTGGCTCAGCTATCGGAGGCGAAGTTTCCACAGCAGCTACGGGTGTTGCCACTGGCTCAGCTATCGGAGGCAAAGTTTCCACGACAGCTACGGGCGTTACCACAGGCTTAGCTACCGAAATCAGTGTCTCCACGACGGCTACTGGAGACTCAACTGTCTCAGCTACCGGAATCGCAGCCTCCACGACAGCTTTGGGAGTTGCCACTGGCTCAGCTACCGGAGCAGGGGTCTCCACGACTGCTACGGGTGTTTCCACTGACTCAGCTATCGGAGGCGAAGTTTCCAAATCAGCTACTGGCGATGCTACTGATTCAGCTACCGGAGCCAAAGTCTCCACGACAGCTACGGGCGTTGCCACTGGGTCAGCTACAGGAACCGGAGTCTGTACGCCGGATACAGGTCCTGCCACTGGTTCAGGTAGAGGAGCTGACTCAGCTACTGGAATCAGAGTCTCCACGACAGCTACGGGCATTGCCTGTGGTTCAGCTACCGAAACTAAAGTCTCCACGAGCGCTACGGGGGCCGCCGCTGGTTCAGCTACCGGATCCGAGGTCTCCACGACAACTACGGACGTTGCCACAGGCTCAGCTACCTTGGTCTTTACGTCAGCTAAAGGCGTTGTCACTGGCACAGCTACTGGAGCCGGAGTCTCCACGACAGCTACAGGGGTGACCACTGGCTCAGCAACTGGAGGCGAAGTTTTCACACCAGCTATTGGCGATGCCATTGGTTCACCTACCGGAGCCAAAGTCTCCGCGACGGCTACAGGGGTTGCTAGTGACTGAGCTACCGAAATCGAAGTTTCCACGACAGATACGGGCGTTGCGACTGGTTCCGCTACAGGATCCGGAGTCTGCGCGCCGGGAACAGGTCCTGCCACTGGATCAGATAGAGGAGCTGAAGTCTCCACGACAGGTACGGGGGTTGCTACTGACTCAGCTACTGGAATCAGAGTCTCCACGACAGCAACGGGCGTTGCGACTACTTCAGCGACGGGAATCGGAGTCTGTACAACGGGTACGGGTACTGCCACTGGTTCAGGTAAAGGTGCTGAAGTCTCCACGACAGGTGCGGGGGTTTCCACTGACTCAGTTACCGAAACCGGTGTCTTTACGACTGCTACTGGTGCTGGCACGTGTTCAGCTACAGGAACCGGAGTCTGCGCGACGGCTACGGCTCCTGCCACTGGTTCAGATAGAGGAGCTGAAGTCTCCACAACAGGTACGGGGGCTGCCATTGACTGAGCTACTGAAATCAGAGTGTCCACGACAACAACGGACGTTGCCACTGGTTGAGCTACAGGAAGCGGAGTCGACACAACGGGTAAGGGCACTGCCACTGGTTCAGATAGAGGTGCTGAAGTCTCCAGGACAGGTAAGGGGGTTTCCACTGACTCAGTTACCGGAACCGGTGTCTCCACGACAGCTACTGGTGCTGCCACTGGTTCAGCTACCGGAACTAAAGTCTCCAAGACAGGTAGGGGTGTTGCCACTGGCTCGGCTAGCGGAACTGGAGTCTCCACGACAGCCAATGGGGTTCCCACGGCAGGTACGGGCGATGCCACTGGTTCAGCTACAGGAACCGGAGTCTGCACAACGGGTACGGATACTGCCATTGGTTCAGATAGAGGAGCTGAAGTCTCCACGCCAGCTATTGGTGGTGCCACTGGCTCAACCAACGGAACCGGAGTCTCCATTACATTTAAGGGTGTTGGCACTGGTTCGGCTAGATGAATAGGACTCTGCACGACAGCTGCGGGCGCTGTTTCTGGCTCTGCTACAGGAATTGGAGTTTCCACGACAGCTACGGGTGTTGCCACTGGTTCAGCTACAGGAACTGGAGTCTGCACGACAGGTTCTGCTACTGCCACTGGTTCGGCCATCGGAATGGGCACTTGCACGACAGCTACGGGGGCTGGCACTGGAACTGGAGTCTCCATGACAGATACTGGTGTTGCCACTGGTTCGGCTACTGGAGCTGGGATTTGCACAGCAGCTGCTGGGGTTCCCACTTGGACAACTACTGGAGCTGGTGCCCGCACGACAACTACGGGGGCTGCCTCTGGCTTAGCTACCGGAGGCGGAGTCTCCACGACAGGTACAGGTGTTGCCACAGGTTCGGCTTGAGGTACTGGGTTTTGCACGACAGCATCAGGAGCTGCAAATGGCTCTCCTACAATAGCTACCGAATCGGCAGATACTGGGGGGGCGACAGCCTTAGCTACCGGAACCGGAGTCTCCGCGGCGACAACTGGAGTTACAACTGGGTTTGCAATTGGCGCTGGTGACCCTATGACAGGGACGGTAGATTCCTCTGGCTTTGCGACCGTAACTGGAGAGCTCTCGAGTGGAATCCCGACAGCCGTTGGTGGGGTTGCCATTGCGTTGTTTTAGTATTCCGTTGATTGCTGCTTATGGCGTTAAGCAATTTTTCATTTCTTAAAAATGAATTGCCAATTAAATATCTGTAATTGCCTTTTAGCTTTATTTAGCACAAGGTATTAGCAAACTGAGACCTTCAGCAAACGGTTTTCACTTTCATTAAGAGCAAATAGCTGAAAGCGAAGGGAATAGACGAGACATGATAAGTCGCTTAGCCGTGGCCTTCAAAAAAGTCATTGGCCCGAAGGAAAGTGTTGATTAGACGTAATGTAAGCAATAGGCAAATCAAAAGAGTAAAATTACAAAGCACACGTGCAATTTTTAACGAACCTGTCGTCATTCACGCTTTTTCTTTGTGCTTCAATCGATATATTGAAATGGACTTATTTTTTGCATAGGCGCCAGCTTGGCGAGTGTCGTGAAAAAATGCTTCAACGAACACAGAACAACATGAAAAATCGGGGATATATATCAGACAGATTATGGAGCTCTTGAGAAATATTATCCCGGACTGAGTTGGTGCTAAATAAAGCCAGCAGGGAATTTAATTTAATATTGGCAAGTTACGTAAACTGAAGTTATGTTATTTTTAATTGAATTTAATTTATTATTTAATTTTATCGAGCTCATATATGTTCAAATTATTTATGGCAAATGACTTTTTATATAATTTTCATTGATTTTAATTATTGTTGTTTAAATTTGATTATGTTTATTTAAGGAATTCTTTATTTTTACTCCGTCGAGCTGCACGAGCTGTCGAGCTGCACGATTGGAAAACACACGTTTAACTGGCCATTTAAAAGAATTTTTTCATTTTTCAACAACTCTTATCGCTAATTTTCCTTCGCCAAGAAGCCCAACTAACGCCCATTGAGAACTGAAAACTAAACAAAGGTGTTCACAAGACCGGAAAAGCCATGAACTGTTTGTTTATATTGAATGAGTATAGGCTAAGTGGCTTCCCGGCGCCTGACCTTTAAGAATTTACAAGATCTATAGGTGTCTCGGTTAAATTGTTGAAGAAGGAGACACTGATAATAATTGAAATTTGATTATCTTATAACTTTTACTTAAAGAATTGTGCAGAATATTAACAAATGTAAGATAATGTGTACAAGGCAAGACCTTGACACATAGTTTATGGTATATAGTATATATATGATTTAATAGCTTATTATTTATTAAAAATAATCAAGATATCGTTTTCAATTCCAGTTAACTAAGAACATAACTAGTTATTTATTTAAAGCTGATTACTTTGTGCAGCTTGTCAACAAATGGTAATGTAACTAGCCCACGGCCGCCCATCCCACTGCCGAGAAGAAGATATTGGGCTGATGGCATTCAATGTCTGACACATTGACAAACTGCCAGGATGGAGGAGTCGCTCAATCGGAACACATTAGCTGGAAAAAATGTAATCGCAGAGAACTAAGAAATAAATCTTTCAATTTTTCGAATGAATAAAGGAAATAAATGCAGCCAAATGTGAAGCAATTCTCGGTTGCATGGCAGGCCACGCCCACCACCCACGCGCCCACACACTCGGGCTTCTGCAGCTTATTTCAATGGAGTTGCACATGTCGGAAGAGGCGACAGGAGACAGGAGACGGGTGCGGGTGCTTGGCGTAATGTGATCTGCGTACAATTTGCAGCCGTCGTTTAAATCCCAGCACACTTGAGACTTGAGACTCTAGCAAATAGTTTTTCAATCTGGCCGAGGAAAGGAATCGCGATAAAGCGTACAAAATAAAATAACGTATAAATAAAGGATGGTATAAAGAATTCATTCGCACAAATGCAAAATGCTTATATGGAAATCATTCCAACGCCAGGCACCATCCAAACCTCAGACCTCGAGCGGCAAAATCGGAAAAAAAATGTATCCGTAGGAGACAGGAGTTTGCGTACAGTTGCTTGGAGATTGAATTGGCAATTTCACGTATTATTGACATTTAAAGGCAAGCATTGGATATAAACTGGAACCCGCTCTCAGCCAGACAGCTGAAGCTATTGGCTGCCTATTATTTCATACGATAAATCAATCGAGTGCTGTATGAAAAGAAAGAAGGGTAATCAAAGGAAGGCCAGAGGCAAGAAGTGCCTTTTCATAGAGTGGCTAGAGTGTAGCCACTCACAGGGTATAAATAATCTAGGCAGAATATTTAAAATATATAAATCAAAAATAAATATTTAAAAATATTTATATTAATATTATAAGTAAATTATAACATATCATTAGTATAAAAATAAATTTATATTAAAATGGGAAAATTATATTAAGTTAATTTAATTTAATTGGAAAGAGGTGAACGTAATTTTTTTTTAGGTATAAAATTAATGTGTGAATTGTAATTGATATTTGTTGTATTATTTATTTGGGTGTGTGATTCAAAGGAGAAAATAAATAAATTATGTTGAAACTGGAAGTGTGATTTGTGAATGAATATAATATTTGTCATGTATATTGAAAAAATAAAAATGAACTCAAAAATAATTATTTTAGGGGATACAAAAAAAATAAATTACAAAAAAAAAACAATAATAATGGTGATAGAAAAAATAGATCATATTAATTAATACAAAAATACGAATAATAAATAAAGTTTATTTTATTTCAAAGAGCTGAACGTAATTTTGTTATTTGTGGTCATAATTTTGCGTATTGATTGGCTATATTATTTATTAAGGAGTTAGTTAAGAGGAGAAAGAAGTATAAATGTTCTCATTGGGAGTGTTATTAATTTGAATATAAATGAGAATTTTATATTTGTCATATGTACATTATTCACAAAATTATTTTCAGATATATTATTGAGGAAAAGTTGAATTGAAATATTTATAAAATAATTCAACACATTTAATGTTGATAAGATACATTTAATATATTATTTTTCTGTAAATAAAAATAGTAAATAAAATTAAAGTAAGTTTATATATAAATATGTTATGTTTCATACATTCATTCATTCAATATAATATTGATATTATTGAATTGGAATACTCTACAAATAAAATGAAAAACACAGTTTTTATTCATTTATATGCCCTACCTGCAAAGTATTTTAAAACACATAAACGTAATTACTGCCATTTGGCACGCACCGCAGGCAAATACAAATATAAATCAGAACCTGAATCAGTATCGTCATACGGCATTCGAACCCGGGTACAACACACGATCTGAGAGCAGGCATTGAACGCTTCCGGGCGCATTTTGCTAAATTGCAAATATTTTCCAATTCGCATGCATCAGCAGCCCGAAAGGCAAACAATTTTGCCCAGCAGCCACAATGGGCCACAAAAAAAAAACAGCTAACCAAAATGGAGAACTGCAAGAGCACACGACTAGCAGATACCCTATGAGCAGCAGAGAAGCGTGCAACTATATATTTAAGAATATTTGCAGCATTTGATAGCGATTTTCTTGGAATATATAAATTAACTATCCTAAATAAATTAACTATTCAAATAGATTGGCAGCTAAACTGTTTAAGGAGGCTTACGTGAGTTTCGTATACCCTACAAGCCGCACCTCCGTGGCTACAGGGTATTAAAAACGGAACCCATTCAAATGGTTACAGCAAAAAATGTGTGTGGACCCAACAATTATCCGTGCTGCTGCCGCAATTTTCGCAACGTTTGGCAACACTGCACAGTCGCAGGCTGTAAATGCAACTGCAACTGCAGCGGCGCAATTTATTTTCAGTTTCATTGGTTTTTTTTCACGTGCTTAATTGCGCTTCGTAAGGCTGGCTGCTGCGAGGGGGTGGGGGTGGGCGGGGCTCCTTTGGCCAAATGATGACGCGAGGCGCTGCAGCGCCTCAGTTGAAAGGTCGCGCTCATCAGGGGGCTTTAATAAATTATTCAAATTAACACGCCTCCGTCCGACTGTCCGCCCGACTGACCATCAGCTTTGTGGGTCAGTTTTGCGTGTTGGTGTGGGCGTGGTCGCTGCCGCCTGTGTGTTAATGGACGCTGCCTGCCCACATTTTGCGGTCAGCAAAAGCCAGGAAAAAAATTAAAGAAAAAATAACTTCACACGCTGCTAAATAGCAAATACACGCACACACACTGGCACACCCGCGCACGCCTTTGCAGCATATGTTGTACAAAAAGGTAAATTTACTGCATATTTCACGCATTTTTTATTTGCATTCACATTTCAGCCGAGCACAGGGCAAGGGGCAAAGGGCAAGGTGAGCCCACTGAGCAGCACTCGCATTCACAGCTTTTGACACTTGACAACATGATTGTTTTTAAAGCCAGTGATAAATTATGCAGCACACAAAAATACACTCAACAGCCCAACACAAGCACACAAACACACACAAACAGCAAATAACAACCATAAAATTCCCAACAGCAAAAAAGGAGAATGTCAACAATCGGAACGCAAAAGGCCACAACTGAAATTCATGACAAAGGTGTGAAATCCTGCATTAAATTGTGAACGAAAGCAACATTACAAATGCATAACATTTAGATGTCAATGTAGACATTAAATTATAAGCAAATGGTATTATTTAAACTTCATTTGACAGAGGTATGAAAATGTAAAACCTAGGAATATAATTTGTAAATGCCCTAATTTAGACCATTAATGCATAATTTTTAACATTACAAAAAAAAAAATGAATTTAAATTAAATTAACAAGGCTAATTTCTTAAAAATATTGAAAAAAAACGTTGTTTATAATTAAATATTATTTAATTAATATATGTATATATTAAAGAAAATAACAAATGCAGTTTTGAAATAAATAATAATTTTCTTAAAAAAATGGTAATAATATAATCTTAATATTTTGTAAAAAATTATTTATATTAAAAAATTATATTAAGATGCAGGAACACGATAATGGACATTTCCACTGCGAGTAAAGACATTAGAAACAAATAAATAACTTCTGAAAATGCCAAATTAATAAACAGACAAGTTTTGCATCAAATTGGGCCAAATTCGCGGGTCAGAAATTCCAATGAGAGCAATTTAGAGAGGTTTTCGAAAAACTCGAGTAAATTGCAACTGTAAAATGTAAAGTTTGTGAAGTGAAATATAATTAGGCATGAAATAAACAATATTTATAACGTAATCGCAGCTAATGAAGCTAGTTAAATGTTTATAAACTAATTAAGATCTCGTTCGAGTTGAACAACAGAATTTGTTTTTATTGTTTTTCGCATTCCATTTACCCACTGCAGCTGCTTGTGGTAAATTAACTTGAATGCCGCAACGTATTTAACGCAGCTCAAAGCCCAAAGAAAAATCACAAAAAAATACAAGGAAAAGGGCAAAAGGGTTAAAACATAGAGGCAAGCAAACAAATCTTAAAGGAAAGCGAGGTGAGTGCAGAGAGAGGAGGCCTTTGGAAAATCCACTCCGCCCCTTGGAACTGGTAACTGGGCGGTTCGCAATTCGCGTAACTTTTATCATTAGTCCGTTGGGAAATTTAACGGGCACTTAAGTTCTTCACTCGTTTTAACTTATTTTCCCAGCCAGTATTGTTTCGCCATTTTTGCGCAATCTCGCGTTAGTTTTTCGCATGTTCTTTTTTTCCCACATTTTTGTAGGCTGGCAGGCGGGGGTGAAGGGGACAGTAGCTACTTCTGCTAGGCAGGCGGAGAAGAGGCGCGAGCAGCTACGCCTGCTAGTGCGGCTGTCACCTTTAACTTGCGCTGCCCGACGTCAAGTGCACTGTGCCAACATTCCGCACCTTGGCTGAGAAGTTTAGGTAGCGGGGCGTAGACCGAATGAACAGAAAAT